TGAAACAGTTGCTCGACGACAAAGAGAGAGGCAATACTAGGGCACTACAACATAGAATTGATAATTTGGTGTTTTCATATCGCACAACACCGCACACGTTCACTGGAAAGACACCCGCAAATTTATTCCTAAGGCGAAAACTGCGAGCTCACTTATCGTTGCTACGGCCGAATATAAAAAAGTACAATGAAGTAAAAATGTGTGCCGATGAGCGAAGATCTGAGCCGAGATCTTTTGGGGTGGGTGATTGTGTATTTGTACGTTCTTTGCGGCGTGATGTGGTGAAATGGTTGCCCTGTAAAGTGACTAACGTGAAGTCGTTATCCACATACCTGGTTGTCGTCGGAAACAAAGTAAAGTTAGTGCATGCTGATCATTTGCGACGATCGTCCATTAAAAGTTCGGAGCAGCCGGAGGACAGTCCCGAGTTAGACATGCCGCATGCCGCAGACATAGTCGCCACACCTGCTGCTAGAAACCGCAGCGGTTGTCTACCTGCACAGCCAGAACGCCACCCGAGTAGGGTGCCTACCAGTAAGAAAAATCCTAGTGTCATACGGAAGAGCACAAGAGAGAGGCAACCTCCTGATCGTTTCCGGTCTGATAATTTTTCTATAGTGTTTTCAATATTAGTTGGGGAGAGAGTGTCGTATCTGCGTGTATCTGATAACCGCATGCCATGAAGTATGTACTTTTATGTCTGACGTCAGGGTACTGTGCGCCTGCGTCCGGTGTATCCTATCTGTATACATTCAGCCCCGATTTGATGTGTGCCAGACAGCAGTTGGTCATGAGGCTGCCAGTGTTGCACCTCGCAGTAAAGTGCTTTGCCAGAAATGCGTCCCGGTCCCAAATGTAACACTCCGTATCCTCCCCTTCTCATCTTCCGTACCCTCCCCCTCCTCTTCTTCTGTACCCTCTCCTCCTCCTCTGTACCCTCCCCTCCTCCTCCTCCGTACCCTCCCCTCCTCTTCCTCCACACCATCGCCCCTTCTCCCACTTTCCCCACTGAATTTAGCTGAAAAATCGACGCCACGTGACCTCAGCACCAATTCAGTTTCGCCGCTAAATTTAAAAGAGAAAATGGCGTCAAGTGACTCCGTGTCACGTCACCTATGAACAAATTCAGTTTCTCCGCTAGATTTAGCGGGAAAACTGGCGTGACGTGTCCTCAACACCAATTCAAATCCTCGTTTCATTTAGCGGGAAACTTAGTTTGTGTCCAGGTCATGTGACGCAAGTTTTACGGCTAAATTTAGCGGGGAAACCGACTGCGCAGTGTTGCACTCTGGGACGTCACAGTCCTACACACCAATTCAGTTTCTTCGCTTAATTTAGCTGGAAATTGAATTTGTGCATATGTCTTTGACGTTTCATAATGCAACGCGCGCGGTTACGCCGACGCTGTTACACGCGGATAAGCCGCTTAAGAGCTGCGCTCTAAACGAGCGAGTACTTTGTCCCCTTGATCAAAGGAGAGGAGGAGCACCTGTATCTTTATATTATAAAAAAAAATAGGAAGGTCAAGAAAGAAACAAAGGTAAAATGGAAAGTATCCACGAAACCGCTTCTAAACTAGTCGTGTACGTGTTATTTCAAAAAAAGTAAAAAAGTAACCGATTACAATTACAAACACTTTGCTAAAAGATCTAACTGATTACAGTAATCAATTACTGCATCCCAAAAGTAGTAGAAAAATTACATTAAAAACATTGAAGTACGAATACATAAAACATCGCGGCGCCGCATGCCCGGAGTTTGGTAAAACTTTTAAGAGAAGCGGAAAGCGTTACCATTTTGCGACAGTCTGCATTAACGTTTAAGCGAAAATGAGGGAAAAACGCAAAAAGAAATACCTTCGTGTCCTGGTGGCTAGCGAAGACGAGCACTATTGTATATAGGCGTTTCCAGTGGACGCAGCATCTCGAGAAGGTCGCTTTCAAGACACAATCGAGATTGAAGGCACGTCCGTAAAGTACCAGCTGGACACGGGAGAAAATTGCTGCATCATATTTGGAAGCCAGCTTCGGTAGGTGACCGCGAAAGAAGCGCAACCGTGTACCGCCGTTTTGAAAACCTTCTTGGGCACAAGGCACACGCTTCCGAAAAGATTCTCCCTGGTGCTTCGAAAAAATAAACAAATTTTACGAAGCCCAATTTTTCGTAACGGAGCGAGACGTTTTGCTTGCACTTAGCGGAGGCACAGCGAACGCCTGGGCCTCATCGCACGCGATTAGAGTGGTACATGAGTTGCGTTATTTACAGCCACTTTTGTTTTAACCTTTTTATTACGAAATCAAGAATGGATAAATATATTCAAGCTCGTCACACAGAAAGCGAGAGAGAAACAGAGAAAGAGAGAGAGATGAAATAGAAAAAATAAATAGTCACATGCTGGACTAGTAAAAGCCCCAATCTTGAAACAAAACCCAATCTAGATACAAAAATATGACAGATTAGATAGCCTTCTGTTCATAGTACGTTTTTTTTGCAAGCACACGCGGGTAAACTCTGAAGGGGGAGGGGGTGGGTGCTTTGTCGTGGCTAGATGACGCCACTACAGAACGGCGGAACACAGTCGTCTATGGCGCAGCAAACCCCAATCGTAACAACCCGTACACAGGAAACGAGGCGCTCTCGACAGCTAAGCACTCAAAACGTCGCTGAGTGCTTTGACATTCTAATCCTTCTGGCATCTTGGCACTTTTTGTAGTTGTTAAAGAATCAAAAAAGTGTCCAACGTCGGTGCAACATAGACGAATGGCGTACGTGCAGACCGAGCGATTTTTTAGGTAAAAAAAAAAAACTCAACTCAATAATTTTAGCTTTTTCGGGAGCGTATAACAGAAAACTTGCAATTCAATACAAGAAAAAAAAAAAGACTAAGCGAATTGCAGAAAACGTAACCGCAAAAAAAAAAAAAGGTTGCGGCTTCACTTCACGCTGTAAAGGTGGGCGGTCAGGCGAAGCTGTCACCTGCAACTATCGCCTACTGCACTATACGAAATGCCGCCGCCGGTTGCAGCACGCCTCCGCTGGTCGTATTGCCGTTTCCTTTCCCTTTTGCCGCTCCTAGTATTCACGCTGCTTCTCGGGAGTCCTAACTATGCGTGGCCTACCCATAGTGGTACTGCAGCAGCAATGAAATCAGTTGCTATACTCCGTTTCATCATACGTTTAAGCGCAGCGGATGTTACGAGCCATCGAGCCAATCGGAGGCCGTGTGAGTGTCGCGTGACCTTAGAGAGGGGGCACAGCGACGCGCGGAAGTCGTATCACTTGCCACGTCCACATAATGGGATTGGCTAAGATAGCTCGTAGCATCCGCTGCGTCCCAACGTAAGATGAAACGGGCTATAGGCGGGTTCTTCTTTTATATATGAAAGGCTAGTGACCTCACTCCCCACGTCGCAAGCTGCCGTCGCCGCGGCAACTTGGCAACAGTAATCTTCACCGGGAACGAATGCAGTGAGCGCTACGAGCTTCGCATTGCTTTCAGGAGCTCCTTATCATTCATTCTATGGTTAGGATGCTTGTTTTCTGTTTATTCTTTATTGAAATGAATGTTGTGCTGTATGTTGTGTGCGTGGTGTTTGTACTGTTCGCTTCAACCTTCTGATGTCTTTTTTCTGTGAGAACGCCGACACGAAAGCACACGCGAGGAGAAGGAATCACCTTTCTACATTCATCGCAGTCCTGTTAACTTAAAAAAGCTGTATCCGCACTACCAGAACTTGATTCGTGATTTCAGTGTATATTTAAGTCCTACGGTATGATCCCACCCCCTCTGTAATGCCTTCGGTCGTCGAGGGTACCAATAAATGAAAAGAAATGAAATAAGAAAATATTACTTATCAACCAGAACTATCGTCAGGGACAGTCTATGAATTGATTAGATGACCCGCCTCCAGTGCGAGCTTTCTGCCTTTGGTAACACTTAGGCTCACGCTCAGTCGAAGTCCTGCCCTGCGGAATGCACTGAGCGCGTATTGGAGGTGAAGCTTCTACCGAATGTTTAGCTATACCTATAGCCTCCTGTATACTGACAAAGCTTGGCAGATCGCCACAAGAAGCGGCCGCCGAAATGGAAAAGCTGGAGTGGTAGACAGCGGATGAGAGGAGAGCCACGTGGCGGGACCCCGCTGCGGCGAGACGCCGAAACACACTTTTCCCGAGAGAACAAGTGTGTTTGGGGTCCTCGCCGCTTCAAAAGCTGTGCGTCCAAGTTCTTTGAGAAATGGCTCTTTGATGCTCTCTGCTACCAGATCCTCGCGCTCGAAATCCGCGACCGGGCACTCTATGGCTCCGTCGTCGAACTGTTGTTCATGACAGAAGATAAATTGTTGTACCCCTATCTCGGGCTGATGGCCGCGTGTGTAGACTTCCCATAGCCACTGATACCTTAAGAAGTGCAGGGCCTATAATGCTCACGTTTCTCGCTTTGTGGTTCGCCTTCTTATCTGCCAATGCAGCATTCTCATTAGCTGCGAGGTGACTTGCTATCCCTGCTTTTCTTCAGCTGTAAGTTACTACGGCGACTGACAAGAAAGACTGTCTATAGTAATACTTTATGTCCATTCGACTCTAAAAGGTCCATGTCTCAGCATTTCAACACTGGCAATTTTCAAGGCGTCTGCAGAGCGCACTACTTCCACAGCCAAGTCCTCTGAAACAACGTTGATCTCTGACCACGCTTGCGAAAACTAACATTTACATAAGCATATTTACATTTTTTTTTTGTTTTTTTGCCTTTTGTTTTTGTTTTTCGTTTACATGCACGCTCGCGAACATATTTGGAAGGATAAAAACAAACGGCTTTTTAGGACAGCGGATGAAGTGGCGTAAGTGGAATCCTCGTTTACAGATACATTCCTTTTAATGTTTGCAGCTGAATCAAATGTGTGTGGGCGGGCTCAGTGCCGCATGCGTACGCACCGATCTCTTTTCTGAAACAGTTTGGAAAACAACATTCAATCTCTTTCGTGCACCTGGTTTGCCAGATGTTAAAAGTTAGGCTCAAAATGTTTTGTTATGTGTTTTCCTTTTAGCTAATACGATTTCGAGCGATAAATGAGTACCTGTACAACGCCACGTTGCCGCTCAAAATCGAGTGTATGAGGTCATGAGGTACCTGAGGTTCTGCAAGTGGTTTGGTCTACCTGCAGATGACACTTGCTGTACACCGCTCCGTTAATATGACGAGTGCAGCAGCATATAGCTTAAAAAATGAACAACAAAAGTACTTAAAATGGAAAGAATGAAAACACGCAGGACCTTTACAGACAACCACACAGAAACAGTGTCTGTGAACGTCCTTCGTTCTTTTTCATATTCTTTCTCTTTGGAGGAGGATAATTACGACACGCTCGCTTTACCGAACAAAAGCATGCACTCGTGTACTTTTTTTTCCCACCGGTACTGCCAGTGCGTCATACGGGCGTATAGACTCCGAGCGTATCACCCACCATTTATCGTTTGACTTGTAACTTCATTCCCGGAAACACAAGAAGGGCAGTGTCTACACTACGGCCACACCAGGGACAAATCCGAGGCATAAGTGCAAAGGCCCACTGCATCTGCTTCCCCTTGCTGAAATGTGTGCGAGAGCCGCCGCGCAGTGGGAAACGGGAAGGTTCGCCATGAATTGGCTCTTGATCTTGGTGATAGGTTCGTGCGGCGTAGGATCGACCACAGCGGTCCCAGTCACCGATGTTGACAAAAAAGTGGACTACACCGGGTAAGTGTGCTGCTCTAGAAGTGACTCGTACGCAACAATAGAAGAGTTTAATATCATTAAAATGCGGCTAAAAAAGTTTGTTATACCACGAGTAGTTATTAGCTTTTTACTGCAACTATTCTTTCTAATTTTATTTTTGTTACTCAGGGCCTAAAAGAACAGTGTGTCGAAACATTCATCATTCCCGTTGAGTTGGGGTTCGAGTTTAGTAGCTTTTACTTTGTTCCGGTTTGGACCCAGTTCAGTCATGCGTGCGAAATATCGGTTCGGTTTCCGGATCATAACCCTGCCTTAGACTTTGGCCGCCCGTGCATATCCTGCAGCAAACAAAAAGGAAACTTCTCTCCCAGTCGTAAAGAAAGGAAAGGTGCATTCAACTTGTCGTGATCTGCACAAAAAATACTACAAATGTGGTCATCAAAAGCCGCGCTAAGGAAAGAGAGACAGTGCAAGAAATTATCTTAGTGTCATTTTGTCTTGACTTTTTATCGCAAACAACACAATTGAAAAATTACTCTATTAACAGAAGATGATAAACACTACCAAAGGACTAACATGCGAGAGAACCAGTCAGCGTGTACCGTACTTGAAGGCCACATGCCTCCAATAACTGAGTTGAAGACGACCAAGACAGCGAAGGGCAGTCAAAGAAATATTCAAACAAAAAATGTAAAAAAAAATACAGAGGCGGCATGCTATGTTTGAAGTACGCCGAAAAAAAACATAACCTTTCTACTAACACTCTGGACAAAGGTGACGTGCACTACGGAGAAATGGGTGCTTGTGTGGTGTCCCAACAACTGGCCCAAGTGGCAAGGCGTTTTTTAGAAGGCAATGTACAGGGAGGCGTTGGAGGAACAGCAAGCCAATCGTGGAAAGCGCCAGAAAACCTGGAGCGGCGCTACCAATGGAACCGCGAAGAACAGAGGACGAAACCTCCTTTTGGCTTCAACGATGCTCACCGAAAGAGCCACCGGACGACTGCATTTCGCCTGCTCAAGCCATCAAGGCATTCCTGTCGGCCAGATTCCAGGGCTCATCCATACACAAAAAGGCCCCAACAAAGTTTCCCGCAAGTGCGGCCCTACGAGAACACTGTAACAGACAATCCCTTTCCACACCCCAAAGACGCGGAGGTGAGACAACAGCTGCCTTATGCTGCTGTGGTAAACTACACTCCGACACCCGGGCTCGAGCAGCAAGTTCGTTACGTAGACTCGAACATACACCTGCCACCGGCGACTGGAGTTCCATGGTTATAACCACTGAGGTCCACACAGGCCGCACACAACAATCTTGCAGCGTTCGGATGGCCCTCCCGAGATGCCCCCACTCCACTCTCAGCGCCAGACAGATTCAAGCAGGGGACTCCCGGTGCCTTCCTCGGGACCTTGGACCTCCCCAAAGACAGCACATGTGGCCCAGTTGTATACATATGTGGTGCCTCCCCTCCCCTTCCGCGATCTGCGTGCAATCGTGACCGAGATGGTGAACCAGCAGCTGGGCTACCACTGTAAACGGCAAGGGGTTTAAAAGCGCTTTCAGTGAGGGGGGTCAGGGGTAAGCGGGCAAATTTCAAAATCAGTTGTATTAAAAAAAAACGACGAAGGCGACGTAGACGCAGCAGACGACCGACAGAGGTGGTAGGATTTCTCAATCTCCAAGGAGCCCGACGGCAGCAAAAATGGGAAGAGTTGTTCAGCCACTTGGAGGACGAAAAAATGATACTTTTTGGAGTAGCCGAGACGCACCTACGTGATCTAGAAGAAGCCCCAACCAACGAAAATTGGTGTTGGGCTGGACACAGTCGTGTGGAAGGTCAGCGCCGAGGAGGAGGAGTGGGCGTGGTGTGGCGCAATACATCAGTATGGCAGAAGGAGCCACGAGAGTGCTGGGATCATATTTGGGTGACAGAGGAGATAATATGTGTCCCTGTAGCTGTTTGCATAGTGTACCTGTCGGTAGGAACTGCGCGCAGAGAAGAGAACCAGCGTTTAATAGCTTGTGTTACAACCGATGCCAAGGCCCATGCTGCTACAAGAGAGATTCTTATTATGGGGGACATCAACGGACACCTGCATGAACTGGATGGACTGGAGGACGAGAATGGACAAATGATGATGCAGATGGCCGAAGATAACGCTCTGGAGATAGTCAACCTTAGAGTCTCATGTGAAAGGCAATATACGTGGAGTGCCCGTGGAAGCAAAACTTGCATTGACTATGCCTTGATTTCACAGAAGCTGACCCGCCACCTTGTCCACGCAGACATCGATGACGCTGGTGACCACAGTGTTGGGAGCGACCACAACCGAATAAGGTTACAGTTCTCAAAGGCAACGCGACAACTAAGAAAAGAAAAGCCCCCTCGGACAGGCGGTTTCCGGCTGTCCCCAGTGGCAGCTGAGAAAGTTGTGGAGGGGTTCGAGAACGGCAGCAAGACGGTGAGTGCGTCTGGATACGCAGAATATGTGTACGAATTAAAGCGCCTCATCAAGCAGCATTCTACAAAAGAACGAGGTGGACGACGACAAAGAAAGCGATGGTGGGACGCTGAAGTACAAGCCGCTATCAGATTGCGACAAGAGCTGAACAGGGAGCACCGCACGGTCCTTCTTGGTGGCCACACTGACCGATTTCCTTTAAGGTGTCATGCGTACCAACTCCAGAAGCAAGCCGCAAAGCAACTTGTTCAAGAGAAAATGGCTCAGGCTGTTATGGTCACAATGAGAGAAATCAGTGCAAGCGGAAGAGATCCACCTAGGAAGTTCTTGAGGTACCTAGGAACTCTCAACGGAAGAGAGAAGTGCCTCACTATCCTGGACGAAGACACAGGGCAGCCAACAAAGCGACTGGGACAATGTCTTACAGATCGTTTGGTAGAGGTATTCTCACCTCCGGAAGCGGCGCCGCTACAGGATTTAAGCCCGACGGAAGGTACGGCCTTGACGCCGGATGACGCTACCTGTGTAACAATCGGGAGGGTGTCCCTTATACGCGCACTGGCGCATATTAAGAACCACACCGCCCAAGGCTTAGACAAGATTCCGGCAAGTGTGCTTAAGGCGTTGAGGAGGGAGTCCAGAGATCAGCTGGCGGACATCTTCGAGAACATTCTGTCTGGGACAGAAGGGATTCCTCGAGTCTGGAGGGGTGGTCGGATCGTACTGATTCCTAAAAAAGGATGTGATCGTCATTGTTTTCGACACTACAGACCCCTGACCGTAACAAGTACGGTGTATAGGACTTTCGCTTACATCATGAAGGAGCACATGACCGCATGGGCGGAGGAAGAGGGTTTACTGACGGAACTCCAAGGGGGCTTCCGACGGGGGCGCCGATTGGAAGATCACCTGTATACTCTTACACAATGTATTGAGGTGGCCCGAAGGGAGAAAACGAATCTTATCTGTTGCTTTCTAGACATCGCGAAGGCCTACGATAGCGTCCCACATGCCCGGCTCGTTCGTCAACTCCAGGATCTTAACATGCGACCGGAGTGGACAGCGCTCAGCTATCGTCTTTACGATGGTAACACGGTTAGAACCCAACTCAGTGAGGGTACGTCTGAGGAGGTGCTGGTGACGAGGGGCTTGCGGCAAGGATGCCCAATATCTCCGCTCTTATATATGCTCTACGTGACCACTCTAGAGAGGCAGCTCATCCGATCAGGGCTGGGCTTTTCTCTAACTCACCTGGAGCATGGCGAGACCGTCAACTGGGTTCTGCCGGGACTAACTTTCGCAGACGATGTGGTACTGACTGCGGCATGACTGTCTGAAATGCAACAACTTCTTGACATATGCACTCATGAGGCTGTGGAGCTCGGCTTGAGATTCAACGCGGGCAAGTCAGCGCCGGTTGTGTTTTCAGGCTCCCTCGAGCCAACACTCGGCAGCCTTCGCCTCGGCGGATGCGATGTGCCAATACTCGACTCATATAAGTACTTGGGCATCACACAGTCAAATGCAGCAGACTACCTACAAGACCACCACACTTATCTTCGCCACGCAGCCACACGAGGAGCCAACATTCTCCGTAAGCGAAGCCTTTGGAGCTGCAATCGGGAGCTCTGGAAAGCGGTAGCATTACCTGGACTGACATTTGCAAATGCTGTAGTATGCGTTCCCGGTGATGTCCGAGCCCATATGGAACGCCGACAGAGAGAGATTGGACGCCAGGCATTGGGCTGCCACGGGGGGGTCGCCAACGAGGCAGTTCGGGGAGAGCTGGGCTGGTCCTCCTTTGAGGCTCTGGAGGCAACCAGCAAAATTACCTACTACGGGCGTCTTCGCCATATGGACAGCTGCAGGTGGGCCATGAGGTTGTTTATGTACACTCACCTGACGGGGCTGCGGACACGCTGGCAGAAGCGCCTTCGTCAAGTTGAGCACAAGTATGGCTTTTTTTCTGACCCCGTTAAAGCGTCATCAGAAAGGGAATGGGCGTCAGAGTTTAAGAAGAAAGTCCGTGACAACGAGGCCCAACAATGGCTCAGAGACGCAAAAACAAAGTCGACGCTCCAAGTGTGCCTGAACCACAAAACAACCATCGCATCGGAAGCACTGCTGTACGACAACAGCCTGAGCAGCCGCTTGTTGTCTGAGGCGCGCGCCGGGGCCCTCCGGACACTAGTTTACAGACGCCGGTTTGATGCTACGGTGACTTCGAGCGCATGTGGGGTTTGCGGAGGCTACGATGAAACGGTAGAATAAGTTGTGCTAGATTGTGCGGTACTTCAGCCGTCCCGGTGCCCACGCGTCCAGAGCCCCTTAATGCTCGCTGAGGCGTTGGGCTTCACAATTACTGAAATCGGGAGCAAACAAGCAGACTACTCTGATGCACTAAGCTCTGCAGCTACGCAGATAAAGGGCCTTCTAGCGGCCGGCACAGGCTTGTAGTGGCCACTAAAGGAAGACTTGAAGATTGGTGGAATAAGATCCACCTCAGGGGGCATTAAGACCTCCTCGCTCCCAGGCTTGGTCACGAACTCAGTTCGCGCTCGCCCGTTTCAAAGGGAACAAGCCGCATCCTCATCGTCATCATCATCCAAGCAAGGGCCACAGCTATCGTGCGTTAGGCCCTAATTTGCGCCTCCAACGATCTCGGTGGCGCCTTCTGTTTTTGCCGCCGCTAAACAAACAGGAAATCGTAACCCGCCCATTATCTGTTAGATTGATTTTTATGTTCGCCTTTTTTTCCAGGGGGAGTAATATGTACAGACAAGAACACAAACATAAATATATTTTAGCCACTTGGCATAGTCGGCCAGAGGTGTACGCCTATGGTCCCGTTTGGGGCTTCTACAAGAGTATAACTGTACGCCCGGACACCAAACGGAAACAAGACCATTTTCTTATACGCCGCCTACTCAACATATAATTGAACGCAATCAAAGCACACATCTGTGTGTCTCTACTGAATTACTGCGGGAATAACAGTAACTGACTTCGCTCGCCGCTTGCAAAAATAGTCGCGACTGACATTTTGTTGCGCGGAACAAAGTGTAGACACCGGAGAACTATAGCCCTCATAAAAATGCTCCCCCCCCCCCCCCCCCCCCCCCCGCCGGCAATATACGGGAGTAGGCAATGGCCTTGCGGACAATGAGCCTCTTGAACCGAGCTCAGGGAAGCGACAGAGGGAGCCCTGACGACACGTCCGAATCTTATTCAAATACAAGTTCTCCATTTTTCTCAAAAAGATTTAGAAAAATATTGTCGTGTCGTGGCCGCTGGACGAGTCCTTTTTCCAAAGCAGGAAAAGTAGGGAACCTTAGGGAGAAGACGTGAAGCCTGCACACCCAGCGGTCGACACCATTTCCGAAAGTAAATGTGTCTATTTGAAAGCGTGCAGTGCAAAACGCAATCCCCCCCCTCTTTTTTTTTCTCCCTAATACCAACCGGGCAGTAAAGTTTGGTTTGACAGGTATAAACTTCTCATGCGTTCGCAAAACTGAGACGCTCTGCGGCCGTAATCGCTGGAAGCGACCTCGAGCTCGAACGAACGAGTGCCCTACCGAATTGGGACGCAGCGCTCGTGCGTCGTGTCGAATCGATCAGCGGCACGGCCTGTCCAAAGTGGCCCCTTTTAGCCACCAGTCGCGCTGACTAGGAGTCGTTTGAGGCGCCCTCTGGTCACTGCCCTGGAGTTATACCGATGGCAGGTCTCTCCAGCGACAATTCGGAACTTCCAAAAAGGCTTATCAGCATTCCTTTCCGCGGACGGTACGACTGCCATTGGTAGAAGAAATACCAAAGTAATCTACGCAAGTAACATTCACGGATCAACGCTTCTCTCAGCTACAACCATTTTCTTGCAGACGTAAATCTAGACCGCCATTGTTTGATATTTATTTTATTCTTTCCCCGCAGGCACAGCATCTTATCCGTTGTTCCCGAGACTAGTGACCAAGTAGATGTGCTGTTCCGACTCCAGAACGAAATGGGCGTAAGTATTTTACGCGGTAGAGGTTTCACAGTAATTGTGGCCCTTTCGAGCGGAGGGCCTTCAATGGCAAGGTTTCATTTATTACGAAATGAAACCTTGCTCGTGCAAAGCCTGCTCTATGTGAGAAATAAAAGGAACAACCTTTATTGCTACCAATAGATGTGCAGGCGTAGCCGCAGCTCTTTGATATACAAACCAACGGCACGTAATCAGAAAAATAGCTATTGAACATAAAACGTTAAGAAAGAACATCTCAGCTGTATGTGGGGTTGCGGTTTTGACTAGTGACGGGGTGACGTCACGCCATCTCATAACGATCAACTACCACCTGTAAAACACTACGACCGTTCGGTGTGAAATCCATACCTGAATATAATGTCCGCTGCCTGGAATTCATTTTCGGGAATCCATAGAAGAGTGCAGAAAGGGCACTCGGAGTGGAAGACGCACAAAAACAACACAGCGCTGACTCTGCGCTTTGTTTCTGTGTGCGAAACGTTATTTGGCTAGCTGCTCCGGCTTTCGTGAAGCCTTCGCCTGTGACGTCACATGACTTCAGTGTCCCTGTTAATTGAGCGGAAGAATACACGACACGTGACCTCAACACCTATTCAGCTTCACCGATAAATTTAGCTGTGATTATGACGTCACATGACTTCGTGTCACGTGACCTATAAAGAGATTCAGTTTCCCCGCTAGATTTAGCCGAAAAATTGACCTCGCGAGGCCTCAACGCCAATTTAGTTTCCGCAAATTTAGCGGAAAAAATTACGTCATATCACTTCGTGTCACGTGACTCACACACAAGTTCACTTTCTTCGCTAAACTTAGCGCGGAAATTGACGTCACGTGTCGTCTTGTCGCGTGATGCTACAATGTTTTACATATGCAGCATAATTGCCTCGCAATTTGCCAACATATATTTTTTATTCGTTAATTAATTCATTTAGTTTATAATTAATTATTCGTTACTTTCATTTAACAATCTTTCTTTCATCGATTTTTTTATAAATAAAGAACACATTATTTGATGCAAATTTATTATATTATTGACCGTTGGAACTATTCAGTTATTTTTTAATTCGCACATAATACCTTAGAGGTCGGGGCATCTATATCATCCACACCACGGCTTGAAAATAATCAGTTTTTGCAACCCACCTCGTAGTCTCCTCTGCGGAGTGCAAATTCGTCCGCCTCTAGCACAGGGGTTGCGATAATGTCCGAACGCCGAGCTCTCGTTGGCTGATCGAAAAACAAAACGGTGGGTAGACATCGAGGGGCGTCTACCCACAATCCTTCCGATCAAAGCCATTCAGAGCGGGGCGTCGTTCTGACGTGACCGCAACTCCTGCGCAAGAAGCAGTCGACTTGCTCTCCGCAAATAGCCCCTGACAGCGTAAGGAGCGCAGGGCGTGGTTTATTCTAGGTTCCCGCTCCTTGCTTCGTGATTGGTTCTTTGGCCTTCTTATTGGCAAATGCAGCAATCTGACTGGCTGCGGAGTGCCACGCCCTGCCACGCCCTGTGTCTCTGAAGGCAGGGTCACACTGCTCATACATAATAGAAGAAGACAGTCTGCAAACACGAGTCACCGCTACATCCGCAGTTCGAAAGCCGCGTGAAACGATTGTCCTATTTCTTCCTCCTTAGCTTTAATCCTCAACTCAAATGCGAATTGTGAAATCACGTGGTCGTGACATTCCTTCGGCACCGGTGAGATGACTCCTAGCTTCCACCGTGCTTTTTATGCGCACCATAGAACTTGTCATTCCCCAGCGACAATAAGTTCTGTCGGGGCACTCATTGGCCATGAACGCGAATCCAAATATTCGTCGACGGATTGATTGTTGACGAGCGCATACGTCCGAGTGACGCAGTTCTCGTGTCCAATGCGTGAGCTGGGCTCTGCTAACGTCAGTTTGGCGCCGGTGACGCGCTTTTGGAACCGCGGATGTATCATAGTGAAAAGGCGGAGAGCTTTCGAGGGCAAGAAGGTACAAAATAGCCCGCTATATTTTCAAATTTTCGGACCGAAAAGCTGGCTTTTGACTTTCTAGCCTCTTTCTTTTGGCCAACTAAACGATATGCGATTAGTAAAGTCCCGATTTAAAATCATTCATCCTAACCCAAAATTCGTTTCATGGCCCCTTTTAACTCATTTCCATGCGGCAATCGAAGCTCGGATCTCGCGCTAAATCGCTTTCGAAATGCAGACTGCCTTTGGCATGATGTATAAGCAGTGTGACCCCGGCTTTAAGCTGTCGGTGGCTACAGAAAGCACCACGTCTAGGCGGGGTTTGGCAACCGTCGCAGTGCCTTATCCTCAACTAGAAGCTCCTCGGAACTTGATATACAAGGTGACCCCCCCAAAAAAATGTGCAGCATTTTCTACAGCTAAGCTGTTTATGGCGAGGGTTCCCTAGATTTTTCGTATGCGTCAACAAAAACTTCCCTTTCCCGCTAAATTTATCGGGAAAATTAGCGGGAAGGATGAAGAGGAGGGAAGTGCACCGCCCTCTCTACGTCGTCGTTCCAAGCGCTTGCTGCCTAGTTTCCTTTCCTTCCGCTGGGTGGCGGTCCAGTCGCGCGTGTCTAAGCTAGGTGGCGTAAGCTACCGCCCGATCCAAAGGGCTCAGCCGTATTCGTACATCCATCCATCCATCCAGTTTCCTCCAGCTCCTCGGGGCAGCGATAGTCCTCGACATGTGTCTGCGTACCTTCCGTCACGATGACCGCCGATCAAGACAATAAATGTGTTCGTACTTTTGTTCAAAATTCTGTGTCACGTCTGTATCGTGTGCTAAACAGCTTCGCTGGTCATTCACCTTCACAGAGTGGAATGACTCATGATTTTTTTGCTTCTTTTTTTCGAGGCAAAGATAAACCACGCATCGCCGAACGCTCATTCTCTGCCAAAATGTAGCGTTAGTGGTCCGAAGCAGATGCGAAAGTGTCAGAAATAACCGATATATTATTCAAATGGTCTAAGGGATTTTCTGAAATCTTCATTGGGAAAAAGGCAGGCCGACTCATGCATGTAGCACATATGGAGCACTTTGTCTTCAGCCACTAAAGACGGGCGCAAACTGGGCTCATTTTCGCGTTGAAAGTTTCACAAAATCGCTCTTAGCGTTTTAATGAGATAACCGTTAGTTGGGAGAGTTTGGCCTCTGGTTCGGAGTCACTAACGCTACATTTGGGCCGATAATGGCCATTCGGCGATGCGTGCTTTACTTTTGCAGTTATAAAAAACCCTGAAAATGTGTTTATGCATTTTTTTTTTTTCAATCGCGAAAGGTCATATAAGGTTCTGAACGACATCTCATTTATTTATTATCCCATTGAATTGCAGATGGACTTCTGGACTGAAGCGGGAGTAGCCGGATCTAGGGCCGTCGTCAGAGTAGCACCGGAACAACTTTCCATGTTCACCAAGAAAACATCTGACGCGGGAATGACCGCCAAGACTGACGTCCAGAACGTCCAGGAGTAAGCTTCTGATTAGATGTTTATAAGTTTAATTGACAGCATAAAAAACGCGGGGCGCGGTTTCTGGTGTTCAAACTGCATGCTTGCTTTCTTACTGGTTCTCTTGCATTTGATGAGCTAATTATCGCAATCCTATGCAGAGTGCAAGTTCCTCCGCTTATTTTGCAGGGGTTGTGGTAACATCAGAGCTCCGAGCTCTGATTTGCTCTGATCGAAGGATAGGGGGTAAACCTGAACGCAGCTTCGACTATCCTTTGTACGCCAAAAACTGAGACAAAGTAAAGAAGATGAAAACAGAAGGTGACTTGTGTTCTCGTCTTCTTTACCTGTCCTAGTTTTTGCGCTTTTCTTTCCGTACTATGAACCAACTAGCTTAACTCGCCCTTTCGTTTCGACCACTTTTGAATCAGAGCCAATCGGAGCTCGGCGTTTTTACGGCACCACAACCCCTGCAAATGAAGCAGACGAAGCGTTGCCGCAAGTAGAGCTCATGGTCGGTGGGAAAGCCCCCAAGGTTGCCCAAAACAGCTGTTGGCTCAAAGTCAGCTCTCATTTTTGTCCAATAGCGTTTTTTTGGTTTTGATCATCGTTGGGGGAGTGTCCCTCCAAACCGGAAGTCTCCTCCGGCTTCAACTGTGGTGTCGTCATGTTGCTTGTCGAAGCTCCCTACCTCCATGCTCTGAAGCGTAGCTGATTTTGTGGCTAGAGTTGACACTCTCTGACGTCACGCCACTCTGGTGACGCTGCTTTTGACACTGGGCATGCGCAGACACTCTATTTTACGAGGATTTAGTTTCTGTACATGAGCCAACACCGGGCGTGGGTAAAGGCGCCTCAGTTTGTAAACAGCGTGATGGTACGGCCCAATATGATGCTAACACCAAACCTTCGCAGTGTACGGGTTGAACCGGACCATCGAATCACAATATGCATGCGTCTTTTGCAGGCTCATCGACGAGGAAAGAGACGGGGCTCGATCCACCACCTACTCCAGCACTCCACTCAGATTCCGGCGCTACCTAACGAACGCAGAGGTAGTGCAGCGTTTATATTTCTTGGTTTAAACCAAGGACTGAGTAACGATGAGACTTTTGTCGCGTGACTAAGGGCACCTAGTGACTTAGGGGAGTGACATTTTAGCGAAAACTTTTAATGTAAACTTAATATTAAAGTTGTAAAATGACCAGTATTTGACGTAACTGCAGACACTGAAATGGATACATCTAAACAGTTTTTATACGTGCAAACATCTAGATCGTGTTTTTGTTTTTTGTTTTTTGGTAAAGAAAAAAATACGAAACACTATTCGCAACTCTAGACCTCTGCTTGCCCTCTCGCGGAGGAACGAACAACATAGGAGCGGGGATGCCGCCGGAGACGAGGGCGGGAAGTGCCGGCCTTGATGCTGCTCTTACCGCGTGGTTCTGGTCGGCGTGTTCCTGCATCATTCACTTTTGCCAGAAAAAGTCAGTGCGATAAAATAATAATTGTCGCGTTCCGCTTCGCAACTTTTAAAAATTAACATGCTAAATGTTTTTAATACCCGTCAACACCTCCGTCACCTGTGATGTGCTCCTTCCCTGACAGCACTCTGTTTGTAAGCAAATAAATTAATTTTAGCACAATGACCAGCGTCAGCGCGTAGGAGCACGTGAAAACATGAAAAATCTATCCCGTTTATTTCGCCTTCTAGGAACTAACGCCCCGTCATTCATAAGGTGTGTGAGTTCCGAATAACCATCTTGTACTACAAACTACAATTATAAAGCATTAACTAAGCAGTAAAGGGATAACGGGTTCTGCAGGGTAGTGCGAAATATGGCTGGAGAGGTAATCTATATTTTGTTGGGTACTCATGTATCACTTTTTTTACTCTATCGCTTTAATTTAACGAGGGAGTCAAATAATGTATTAGTCGTCAATTAAAGAACCATTTAATTTTTTCCATAGTTCGAAATCGCTCTGAAATCCTACGGCCTGGAATACGACCACGTGCAGTACTCCCCCATCGGCAAGTCTTACGAGGGACGAGACATTATCGGAGTGCACGTGAGTATGGACATGTTACGCGCAAATCTTTTTCCGTTACGAAAAGTGTCGAGAACCTCCTCTCCACAAACCGGTTCTTCCTCTCCATGGAAGTCCCCCGTTCCCTTCTAGGCAGACGAGGCCATTTTTGAGCGTGGCCCTGCAACAACTCATAAAAAAAGAAGTGTTGTAGACAAGAGAAACGCGTGTCGCGCGGTTTAGTCACGAGTGCTGTGTCACCGTTCGGCGCAGGCTTGACTTCGTTATAGCTGTTCCAAAGAAATATTCTGCGCATGCGCGAAACGGTACTATCGCTCCCCATCGAAGCTGAGATCAACCAAGCAAGCGGTCGTTCTTGGGCCTACATTGTACTAGGCTGCTTGAGAAACAAACTAAGCCTTGTGGGTCGCCTCGTTTCTCCCAATGCCAGCGAACTGCATCGCCAAAGGCTACAACAATTAATTTTGCAGGAAAGAGAGCGCCATATACATTCAGCTTAAGTCGACACCCAGCCGACGCTACGAGGTAATGGAAAAAATTGAGCAGCGTCAAAGCGCAAGTCACTGGGCCTTTTTTATTTATGATTGATTCGGCAATGATAGAACACATAGAGAAACATGACGAACACCAGACGGCGCGGTTTTGACGCTGTTTGATTGGTCACATCAGCTCGCAGCCTAGGCTGCGGATGCACTAAGGTGAAACTAAGTATTGTACTTCAGATTTTGGTCGGCCAAGCTGTGTGCCCTAAAGAGAAAAGCTTGCATAGCCGCTATGAAGAGAAGGCAGCCAGATTGCTCACGGTGGCACCCGAACGAGCGCTGCCTGACCCGCAGCGTACCTTATTCTATGGGTACATCAATCTTGTAAGCTTCTGAAGACACTTTAAAACAAAAACGGGTCTACCCATTACACCCCTAGTCACATATACGACACGCCAAAAATTCAGTCCGACGTGCAGCACACTGACGTCTTACTGAAGGCCTGAACGTTTACGAGAGGTTTGATGCCAGTGGGATATAACGTATTAACTATTTACTGCACCTTGTTGCATATTTGCGACATAGCAATGAACGACAATAAAAACATCTACAAAATGCATTTAGTGCTGGCTCCGCACGTTGTTGCATTTCCGCAACATACATCCGTGAGGCGAGCCGTCCAGTGCTGCCATCTGTACTCAGGCGGCGAAACGGCTCCCTGAAAAGCATGACAGCCACTACGTCAACGCTCAACAGGTCATATAGGTAAGTCTTGGCTACTGTATATCACTTTCTATACAGTCTAACGCAAAACGAAAAAAAAAAAAAATGTGCCGCTCAGCTCTATGTTTTGCTGCTTATGTAAATACTAGAAACCTTAAGATTATCGACGAAGTTTGTCGTTGGAAGCAAAAAATAGCTATGTTGCACAGATGCAACAATGTGCACGACGGTGTTTTTCCTTCGTAGAGCAGACACAATAGATCCCACATAATTTTACAGCTGTGGAATTCCTTCGGAGAGCGAGCACAGCGAGCTCTCTAGCAGTGACGATGACTCTGATTCTAAATTGATGTTTTTCTGGAAATCCAACGTTCTTTTTTTTTTCAAATAAAAAAAAAAAAAACACATTACAAGCAGTCTAGGCTTTATTGGCGGGGATTTTCGGAAGAGACCATCTTTCGTCGAGTGTAACTATACAACAATTGCAAAGTTTTAGGTTTGTTTTCATGTTTTCAAAGAGCACGCTTAGAACCGCTAGTGAAAATAATCCCCTATACAATGTAGAATTTCTCTGCAAATCATTTATTTTACCGCTCATTGTATGCGCTGTATAAGACGCTGTTATTTTCTGTACCCTAGATGTCCACCCCACTGCAACCTGTAGTGCCAGTTCAAGCGAGACGAGTACACGCTCTGACGAAGAGGAAGCTCCCGCAAGTGAACCAGCTGATCAATCGTCAACTAAATCTAAAAGAAGAATTATCTGGAAGAATGCAAGCCTGATGCGGAGCCCTGGAACAGTCAAGTTCACTGGACAAGATGAGCTTGCGCAGAAAAGTTTAAAGTTAGAAACACCCTTCCAATACTTCAAGTTCATCTTTCCAGGCGCTCTTAATTCGCTTATTGCAAGTGAGAGTAATTTGTACTGAGTCCAGAAGGATGCCAGTATGCCCCTCTGCACCATTGTGGAGGAGAGTGATGCTTTTCTAGGCACCTGCATGTGGATGTCTATAATTCAGCTGAAGAACACTAGGTGATAGTGGAGTGAAGCTACCAGAGTAAGCCAAGTAGCTGACAACCTCACGCTGACAAGTTCGAACGGTTGAAGCACAACCTCCACTTTGTGGACAACAGCTCTCTCGGCCCAAGAGATGATCCTGATAGAGACAGGCTTGCGAAGATACGACCGCTGGTCGATGGTGTAAATGAATAGTTGTCGCTGATACCGCTTCAAGAGCACTTGTCTGTGGATGAACAGATTATACCTTTCAATGGCGCAAGTGCCCTGAAACAGTACTGTCTTCAGAAACCAACAAAAAAAACATGGGGTACAAAACATTTGTTCTCTCAAGAGTAAGCACCTTCCCGTACTAGCTAGAACTGTACACGGAAGAGGAGAACTTTGCCCCAAGACGTGCAGGAGAGCCTGATTGTGGAGCAAGCGGGGACATTGTTGTTTGAAGTAGTTAATCCCAAGAGGAGTTCACCACAAAGTGTAGTTCGATAACTACTTCAACTGTCGAACCCTTCAGGTGTACCTGGAAAACGAAATCGTGCACTGCATTGGTACAGTTCGGATCAACCGAGTAACGGGAGTCAGCATGCCATCTGACAAGGAAATAAAAAAAAATGGGAAGCTTGGAAGAGAAGGTAGCGACCCTGGATGGCATTTGGCTGTCGTGTATAGGGTGGCAAGAAAACAAAGCAGTCACCTTGCTGTCCACCTTTGTTGGGGCAGAGCCTGTCCTAACTGCGCCAAGGTGGAACCAAAAAGAAAAGGAGAGGCGCGACATACTGCGCTTACAACAAGCACGTGGGAGGAGTGGCCATCTCCGATTGAAGAAATGGTACTTTCGTATTTTCTCTCCTATTCTCGACTTGACGGCAGTAAATGCCTGGCTGCTGTACAGGAGGAATGCCGAGACTACTTCCGATCAACCAGCATGAAAGCTAATCCCCTTAGCAGAGTTCAAGGTGGACGTTGCCACGTCACTCTGCAAGGCAGGAAAAAATTAACTGAAAAAAAGGGGAGGGCCCAGCAATGAGTCAGTGGAGCAAGGCATCCAGCTGAAAAAAACAAGAGGTCCTGCAGCCCCGTGTCTACCTCAAGATATCAGGATTGATCAGGTATTATCACTGACGAATTAAACTGTGTTACAAACCTCACCTTTCATACTTTTATGTTCAGGTTGGCCACTGGGCGCTTTGGAGTTAGAAGCGACAACGTCGCAAGTTTCCTGGATGCAAGGGCATTTGTATGAGCTACTGCTCTAAGTATAGTACTCACCTGTGCTCAACAAGCAAGAACAACTGCTTGCTTTTGTATCACACAAGCAAATGAGGCCACATCTCTCACTAACGTGTGTAAATACAAGTTTGGCTCTGGTTCACACATTTTTAGCATTCCGCTATATATATTCCGTTATTTTCATCTTGTGGCAAATATGGAACATACCTATCTTTTTTCGATATATTTTTTTTTTTCAAACGTTCAAATTTATTTTAGTGATAGTATGGTGATCACGGTGGTATTCTACTTCTGCTGGAATAAAATTGTGAAAAAATAAAAAAAGTTGTGCAGTAAAGGGTTAAACAGCTAAAGTACGTATCAAAGACTACAGGGAAAAAAACACTGAGGTTTTGCAGTAGGGCCAAGAAAACCCCGATTACTTTATTGTACAGTCAGTCACATGTACATTAGCTGTCTCATTAAGTTGTACAAGTCGGCTATCAAGCCGCTTAAGAAAACGGGTACCGTCGGTTCACCGTCAGTGCTCTGTACGTTCAACTGAAGTTTTTGGGGTTTCTTACATGTAACAAGGAGGCGTAAGAATATACACCTTTGTTTTCTGTGTGGAGTTTTCCATGCTAAGCCCCGCTTTATATCCCGCTTCCAGCAGCTTCGATTGAACAATTCCAAAGTGTTTGGCGGCGCACGAGAGTGCCGTGTTGCAGCTCGCATTTCGCCAATTAAAGACAACACGGGTTTATGACGAAGATTGACGCAGCACTCGTCTCTTCGTCCTCCTGAAGCGCTCGAAAATGGCGTCGTGTGCCGGGAGGGGACAGAAAAATATTCGAGTGTGAGGATGTTTGACGATTTGGCTACGAGGAAAGTTGAGTACGATGCTTCTTTACTTTCAGTATTGAGGATCTTCATTCGGCGCCATTTGTAAATCTGTGTCCGTGTTCTACTGTTACGTAGAAAGGAGGCTACGTGAGAGGTGGCGCTGATCCCGTCTTACGGTCTTCATTCCTTTCGCCTCGCTAGATCACCAAAGGGACGAACAGGCCCATCATATTCTTCGAGTGCGGCATTCACGCCAGAGAGTGGGTGGCCCACGCCACCTGTCTCTACATCATTGATCAGGTAAGCTTTTATGCACCATAAAAACAAATTACAAAAAAACGTTCGCTGTAGACGCGCTGACAGCATTATCTCCGGAAGCAGACGTCGCAAGCATTCTTCGAAGCATGCGTGCGGATAGTTTCTAAAACGTGAAACGTTTTTTGGCTAAGTCGCTCCGCATTTTGTGAAACGTGAGAAGCGTGGCCGCAAAGCTGGATGCTGATTGATTAACGGGGGAGGTCACGTGACCATAGGGCTAGGCGAGGAGGAGCTCGACCACCTGCTCGCTCTGAGGGAGACGAGCCCGAGAGTATGGAATGCTCTTGGAAATGGTCAGGATTATCGGCCCGCTCAGATGTAGTACCGCTTCCTTCTAGGAAAAAGTTTCGAGGCAATACACCTTTCCAAAAACCGCTCCTAGGCCGCCGCCATGTTGCTGATGCTGATGTGGTTGGTGCGACTCTCGCGCCCTCTATCAGCTAGAAATTTTCTGCCACTCTCTGGGACTGTGAAGACCCGCTCAGCGCGGTTCTCTACCTACGTTTTTGCGGTTTTTCATTCGACGTTTTCTCGCCCCTCCTGAAAGTTTCCACTTAATTTTTTTTTTATGCGTGCTGTGTACCCTTTTTCTGTTATCTTCCACTGTGAGAAATAAGGCTGGTAAGTGCCTGCCATTCAAGCTTTTCTGCTCGACATTCACGGGAAACGAAAGACGTGAGGGACGTCGAACGACCCTCGACGCGATTTTCCGAACATTGTTCTCCCCCCTCCCAGAGATAATCCGCGTAAAATCCTCAGCCATCTCCAAAAACAGTTGTACGGGTTGGGGTGAGAAACGGGTCAGTCACGTTTGTTTCTTTGCCTTGGTGCGGTTGTGAAAAAAGGAAGCTCTCCCCAAGACGTGCCCCAAAACGAAGTCATCCGGATTCCGTCCGATCGTCAAGATGTGACTGTCGTCGACTGTGACTGTGTTATTTGAGATCTTTCTCAAATAAATTCGTTTCGGATAACGCTGCATCGTGTGGTACGTACGAATGTTAACACTTCCTCAATTGTATGTCCGTGTCCTGTCCATCGGTAAACACGTTATTTGTGAGCGTGAAAAATGCATGCCTTTCGGCTATTTTCTGATGTAAATTATTTTTGACAGCTAAGCGCTTTGTCGTTTCACATGCGGCGAATCCCGCGGTGCCGTCAAAAGTTATCGCAAGAAAAAAACAAATAACTAGAACTTTTCATTCCAGTCGCTATCGTTCTGTCGCGCGTGTACCCAACAAAAATAGTTTAGATTTTTTTTTTTTACTTTTTTTGTTTTTTTAAATGTGGCACAATGCTTTCTCAATGTCCTCGGGAACATACATGTACCTTGAAACACAAAATATAGCGGGGAAAGACGATAACTTAGCCGCCAGCGGCGTTTGAAACTGCGCCTACGCAGGCTGCGCCTATTGAAATCACAGTCCACTCGGTTAGGGTTAGGAGGGACGCCGGTGAGAGTCTAGCCTCAAACTCAGTGACTGGGCTCACAAACGGTTTGTTGCCCCTGGGGTCGAGTGTTTTTTGGAAAGGTGTATAGTGCGGCATACGTAAATCTCAAAGTATGGGTAAACGTTTGAGATGCTAGAAAGTCTCACATCAAGGAACGCAACTGCCTAGCAATTTACCGTACATTTTCTATGGCCAATGTGTACCGTGATGCAAGGATGACAGACGACTCAGACAGTGAATACAGACCGTGTTTTGCACGATGGATTTGAGGTGTAATACCTGCTTTAAAGCTGGCTCGAACATTTGCATTCGGCACCGGCGCCATCTATCCTGTATTCCTGGAACACTTGCTCTCAGCGTATAACTAGACTGAAGGTTTTGCTATATTTGTTGCATAAAAATGACGCACTGTGCTATAGGCCTGTAGCTCTCAAGTTTCGAGCTGCGGCCCTGGCGAGGGAAACCGGGTAGTTTTAGGTCACGCTACGGTTGTGCTTTCCCGCAATTGCCTGAGTTAATATAAACCAAAAAAAAAAAATCGATGCGAATTATACGGCGTTTTTATGGGAATCTGAAGGTCTCTGTCGCCCTGTTCCGGTGGTGATTTTAATTGTGGTTAGTTCTTCGATGGTTTTTGTTAGCGCACGGGGACAGACGCTGACAGACATCCATGGTGAGACGCCAAGATGCCGCTGTATGTCAAAATTAGATGTCCTCGTCTTGCGCGAGTTGTGAGGATTATGCGTAAAATGTACACGGGTCAGAGGTTGGTCAGGGCTACCCGATAGATGGACCTAGTGTGTGTCTTCTCGTCGTAAGCGACCACAAGCGGTTCCGACGCAGTCCGTTATACTGGAAGGCAAATCTTTGAACCAGTTTTAAAACCCGGGGTCACGCTGCCCATTCATCATAGGAAAGACAGTCAGCACACAGATTCGGACGCGAGCCACCGCGAGATCCGTGCTTCGAATGCAGCATGGCAATGAGCTCAAGGAGAAACTTGACACGCGGCATTCGAACCACGGATATTGCGGTGACTCGTGTTTCCAGACTCTTTCGTGCGAAGCACGAGCAGCGTGACCCCTGGCTTAAGGCCTGTCCGAGAAGAGACACATGCCACGATTCCGGGCTATCCCCAAATTTGAGACGTTGACCAAAACGAGCAGATGATGTGCCCTATCCCCGTCCCTCCGCAGAACTCATTTGGCTTTGGGTGAGTTCGTGGAGTCGCCGAACGCATGCACAGTTTCACAACTGGCTGCGGGGAGAAAAGCGTTAAGGCTATAGGCCATACCAGCGGTTATCACCCAGGCGAAAAATGCTGAGTGACTGGGCTGTCGACACATGCGCGGTGTCTCATATTTCGCGCAAAGTAGCTACCGCGCATGCTCAGAACGCCTTCCACAGCCCAGTCGACGAAGATGGCAGCGCTCAAACGGCGATTACTGAACTTCTCTATACACGCCCTATAAAAACAAAGGGCATTGTTATAAGAAGGCAGAGTAAAGGTCGTGTATACATATGCGAACGATATAAAAAAGCCTAGGCGAGCACGTGCTTCCGAAGACCATCAATCTTATCTAAAGAAAAAAAGCTGAGTTATCATCGAGGCCATACGGTGTGCAAGTTTGTCTGCTCGTTGCGCACCTCGTGCGTTTGTATACCCCCCCCCCCCCCCTTCCCAATGCCGCCCACTTGCATTTGTTTCCTTTTAGCGAATGATGGCTTGAGTATGGCTGCCTCGTCTTTGCGCGTTTTCTACGCATTCTCTGCGCATTCTCTGCGTGGTCCCTTGATCGGCGTGCCGATATGCGTGCGTTCCGATGCGTCCGAGACGCATTTTATAGAACACTCGCTCGTCGTGTTGTGTGAATGAGCGGAATTTCAGTGGCTGTTCGATTTTAGTTGTTACTTCCCACTTGATTGGCAAACGGTTGCTGAGTCAACGCAGATAGCGGTGGTGTTCGGTAAAATAAAACAAAAAAAATGAAAGCCGCTTACAACTCCCTGTAACGCCGAATTAGAGCGCAGCTCTTGAGGAGGAGGAGGGAAGGGCACGGGGGGGGGGGTAAACTAACCAGGGGGGGGGGGGGTCACGTGACCTTGGGGGTCACGTGACCCCCAATGCCGATGATGTCATCACTGACGTCACTGATGACGTCATCCGTGACGATGACGATGCGGGTACCGATGACGTCATTAGTGACGTCACTGATGGCTTCACCAGTGATGATGACGATGACGATGCGAATGTAGGTGACGTCATCAGTGACGTCGCTGATGACGTCATCAGTGATGATGACGATGACGATGCGGATGCCGCTGACGACATCAGTGACATCACTGATGACGTCATCAGTGATGATGACGATGACGATGCGGATGCCGGTGACGTCGTCAGTGATGATGACGATGACGATGTGGATGCCGGTGACGTCATCAGTGATGATGACGATGACAATGTGGATGCCGGTGACGTCATCAGTGATGATGACGATGACGATGTGGATGCCGGTGACATCAGTGATGATGACGATGACGATGGGAATGCCGGTGACGTCATCAGTGATGATGACGATGACGATGCGGATGCCGGTGACGTCATCAGTGATGATGACGATGACGATGCGGATGCCGGTGACGTCATCAGTGATGATGACGATGACGATGTGGATGCCGGTGACGTCATCAGTGATGATGACGATGACGATGGGGATGCCGGGGACGTCATCAGTGATGATGACGATGACGATGTGGATGCCGGTGACGTCATCAGTAATGATGACGATGACGATGCGGATGCCGGTGACGTCATCAGTGATGATGACGATGACGATGTGGATGCCGGTGACGTCATCAGTGATGATGACGATGACGATGTGGATGCTGGTGACGTCATCAGTGATGATGACGATGACGATGTGGATGCCGGTGACGTCATCAGTGACGATGACGTCATCGGGGGGTCACGCGACATCGGCGGGGGTCACGTGACCTCGGGGGGTCACGTGACCTCGAGGAGGGGGTCACGTGACCTTGAGAAGGGGGTCACGTGACCCCGGTGGGGGGGCTCGCGCGGTGCATTATGGGACATTTCCCATGATGCACCGCGCGGTTACGCCGACGGCGACGGCGACGGCGACGGCGACGCCGCTCAAGCCGGAAACGGGCCCCTAAGAGCTGCGCTCTAAAATGAAAGCCGTTTACAACTCCCTGTAACGCAGAATTAGAGCGCAGCTCTTGAGGAGGAGGAGGGAAGGGCACTGGGGGGGGGGGGGGTCAAGTGACCTCGGGTGGCGGGGGGTCACGTCACCTTGGGGGGTCACGTGACAATGCTGATAACGTGATCAGTGACGTCACTGGTGACGTCATTAGTGATGATGACGATGACGATGCGGATGCCGGTGACGTCACTAATGACGTCATCAGTGATAATGACGATGACGATGCGGATGCCAGTGACGTCATCCGTGACGTCACTGATGACGTCATCAGTGGCGATGACGTCAACGGGGGTCACGTGACCTTGGGAG